ATGGCAAGTTCTAGAATTGGAAACGCCAGTCCTTCAGAATTCCGCCTTGTTTTAACGAAACTTACTGAAGTTCAAAAGAAATTGGACACAACAGATCAATCGTCAGTCATAGCGCAGCTGAGACAAGTGAATGATTCACTTCAAATCGTTGAGGGAAACCAGACCGATATTTCCGATGCCATCCTTAACAAGCTGCAGGGTATCGAGACGCGGATCGAGACAGGTTTCAAAGCCTTGGAGGAGAAGATTGCAGCTTTAGAAAGAAAAGTTGTGGACGGTCCTGCAATCGCAGAGGGAAGCGCTTTCGGAATGCTAACGCCACCAAGTTCTTCAAAGAAAAGAAAAATCGCCCGCCATCCAGATCTCTCGGTGAGTAATCTTAGTCGACAACATAAACGTTATTCTTAGTGCATGTTTCTTACGCAGCTTAGATTAATATGATGACTTGCTTTCAAAAATTTTGCGGCTTGCCAACCAAACTCGAGAGCTGGTTTTGAAATGCGCGCCATACAAATTTTCGATTTCTCACACCTATTGTTTTTCTTGCCGCACAACCGCCTGTATATATATTTGACAGACCGCTTGTGTCCTGTTTCAAAGGCGCCGAGGAATCTTTAATAATAATTTCTTCATTGTTCAGTTTGGAAATACATGGAACCCGCACTTTTAATACTAATGAACTGTTATCGTTCACAGCACTATGTTCGTTCAAAGATTGAACAGTTAGGCCTTGCATGGAACACTGACAAGAAGTAAGCCTAAGCTTAATAAATCATGTTTAAAGTTATATAATATAAGCTAATGTAGAAACAAAAAGTTGTTGAAAAGTAAAAAAAAATGTTTTTTGCTTGAAATGTCTTCCTTTGGATGCTCAAAGAAATTATTTGATGGTGAGCTAGCTGGCTGATTGTGTAGCTTGTTGTAGACATTTGGGGCTGAGCTCTTCATCAGTGGAAGTCAAAAGATGATATGTTGTTGAGAAAGATCTCTGGGCCATGAGAGACAGAAAGTTAATTTCTCAACAAAACATCACCTGCCGATCAGACTTCCACTGTTGAATGGCTAAGCCCAAACATTTGGAACAAAAAATTTTTTAATCTGCACTTTATACTTGAGCACAAGAACTCTGTTTTATCCTGTTTTAACTCAAAAGTTATCTTTCCCAGTTAGATTTTCAGATTATTAATGGATGGGATTATTTCAATTTCTTACAGAGAGAATGAACCACCAAACCTAGCTGTAGTAGCCACCATCTTGAAAGAGGTCAAAGAAGTAGAGCAGATTCAAAATGATTCTCTTTGTACAGAAAGAAGAATTCTAGGTATGATTGAATGGGGATTGTTTAGCCAAATAAACACAATTTGTCTTCAACTTTGGGTTGAATTTTTTTGAGGCAAGTGCCCCGTCTTGCCCCTTGCTCACTACAACCCTGAAAACTGACAATCTTTTTCATATAACTTATTGTGGCGTACTTACCTTTCCTTTCAGATGCTATTTCTCAAAACTTTGCATCATCAAAGAAACGTAGACGACAGGAAGAAAATGGTACTTACGAGCATTATCAGAGGGAGCAAAAGAAGCGACAAAGAATTAAAAGGGTAAAAAAATTTGTTTGGCTCTTTAACACTTTATTATCTTATCAGCTTGTATGTTTGAGTAAATTTCAAAAGGTTTGAATTCAAGTTTGATCTAAAAACAGGGTAAGGTTCAAATTACACTGTAGATCTGCTGATAAAAAACATTTTATGCCAAGAACAACTCTGACCAGTGACACAAGGGCTCTATAAATGTTTTATTGTAGGAATTGCTTACCATTTGGTATTATAAAAACTTATTTCACATTTTCCCTTTTAGAAACTGGATAAGAGACTCAAAGTGGCAAGTGAAGAAGAGAAGAGACAACCAATTTTTGAGGCCCTGCATCCTAGTCTTGTCTCCTCAGACGAGTCTGATGAAGAAGATCCCACATCAATGGTAACAAGGCCCCTTACCTGGAGGACAGAAGAAGTTACCAACTTCTTCCATATGCTAGACCAGAGGTATAAGTCTTCCATGACGAATCAGCAAAAGAGGCAGTCAGTAAACAGAAGGGTTGGTAGACCAAGTCATAGAAATAGTAGAGAGATCCCAGAAAAATTGCTCTGGGCCACCACCTAAATTTAATTTTAATTTTAGTATACAGTCACTCAACTCTCTTCCCTAGGACCATCTCTTATAAAGTTGCTATATTTCTACCCAATTATACAGATGATGTAGGTCTACCATCTCCATTCTTTTATTCTGTCTGAATTTAGTTTTTAATTTGACAATTTGCTGATTTCAATTTTCTCACAAGAAACCACCTTAGTTGGCAAATGCGAAGTGAGACTTCTGTACAATCATGGTTGATTACAAGAGAGTTTGAAGACTGTATACATATACATGTATAACATGTAATATTTTGAGCAATTTAAGTAATTGAGCAGCCTACATTTAAGTTATTGTCAGTGGATAGTGAAATCAGTTTCTAGAATATTTTGCCTTCCCTGACCACCATTTGGCACTTATGTCCAGGATTGAATGCAGGTGTTTTTTGGCAAACAATTCACATTATATGAATAGATTTTTGAACATTATCACACTACATTATCACAGAATTGTGCATTTAAGTGAATTTTTATTAGTGAGAACAATTTATCATGCTCATTTCAAAGAGCCTAAAATCCTTGACATATCTGCTATTTTAGAGGTGGCTGCAATTTTCATTCTTCCTTTTAGAGTTCTCTTGTCCTCCATCAGATGGAGTACTCCAAGATTTTCTCAGTCCAAGTAAATATTTTCTCTTTAAGTTAATATTTTAGAAGTTTCAATGATTTTCAAATTTGGCTTAAACTGTTATAATTAATATATCAGAGTCAAAGATACATGCAGCCTTCACAGTTAAGGTTTAAGAAAATTCTGTGTTTGAATTGCAGCTAGTTGTATTTTTAGTCAATTAAATTTATTCTTCAGTTGCAATTTCAAACATTAGAAGTTTTAAAATAGATCTAAGGTATAAAATTAAATGTAAGGTGGTATTGTCAGAATGTTGCCTTGATTCCCTCAGCACATGAAGTTCACATAATTATATTTTCTTCAAACCTTGACACTCATTTTTGCAAAATGTTTATAGTTTGTATATATAGACCCACACATAATTTTTCAGACAGTCATCCTTCCAATTTTATAATATCGGTTATACTGTACGGGTTAAGTTTTGCCTCTTGGCTTTAGAGAGAAAAAAATGTGTAAAGTGAAAGAAGGTTGCATTGTGCATTAATAAACTTGATAAGAATTATTAAAGGAGTGCTAATCCTGTCTGGGAGAGGGAAATAGGACAAAATGCTTTGAGAACCTGTAGTAGAGCTGAGTCCAGGAAGTGAAATTTAACGAACAGTAATTAACCGTGCGGCGGTAAACGCGGGAAAATGCATCCCTTGCACGAATTCACCGTTACAGAAAATACCGGAAAATGCATGCTTTCGACTGGTTAATACCAGTGAACATAACGTTGGAATGCGCAAAATGGCTGTAAATGGCAGAATACATGTTGTTTTCCATAGATTAACCGAACAACAATAAAAGGTAAAACGCCTGAAAATGCGTTTTCACGAAATTTCTCGAATTCACTATTGCGGAAAAACGTTGGAAAATGCATGCTTTCGACTGGATAATTCTTGTGAACATTTCGTTCACCGGGCGTAAAATGGTTGCGAACAAAAGAAAACATGGCATTTTCTATGCGTTATACGAACTGCAAACTCTGGAAAATATTATGTTTTCTCGTATTTACACACATTAACCTTCCCGGAAAATGCGTGTTTTCAGCTGTTAACTCCGGTGAATATGTTGTTGTTCACTCGGAAAATGCCAATGAACGAAAGGAAAACACGCTGTTTGCCATGTGTTAACCGAGCGGTTAATGCCGGAAAATGAATTGTTTACCTGCATTTACCGCGAAGGAAAACTACCGAATAATGGAACGAATACTGGGATTCACCGATGCGAAAACGCGCAGAAAACGTCGGATTTTCCGTAGGCAAAACACGGGTAAACGATAGTAAATTGCCACGTTTTCCGTAAATTCAACCTTCGTTTTCCGTACGGTAAACGCTTGTTTTTTTGCCGTGTTAAAGATTTCCTCTCTCAGATTGTGGTCAAATGCGTCTGGATTTCATTAAAACTATTTTACCAATTACCCTTTTAGCATTACAAGTTTTCAGGAGAGTGTGATCATTTGTTGGACAAAAAAGAGTGTTTAAGGATGAGAAAGTAAAATGAGAGAAGAGTTTACTGTTTTCTCTCTATGCTTAAAACTGAGTCACTTAAGTTCGTGGAGTGAATTGCTAAATAAAGATTACGTGTTAGAAATGTGATGAAACAACGTAAGATAACACTAATCCGTGAAACCAGTGAACTTAACGGAATCATCGAGTATCACGCTGTGGCCTCAGTGAACGAGATGAAATTGCGTGCGTATCATATGAAATATAATGATAACTGATTGATGTATTTCTTCTAATATAATACAGCTGTAAGTTATAGATTTGTACAAGCTAAGGTTGCTGGTATTGGCCCATAGATCTTCGCATGGAACTGCCCCGGTTTCTATCCAAAATTATCACAAGAAGTAGGGCAATGAAATACCGTGACCATGCCATACTGGTTTTTTTAGTGATTTAATTCAATTTTGTTTTTTAACCCTTATATCGCAATTTTATTAGAAGGTGAGGACAGCCTCATCTGATTAGGGAGAATATGTTGAAACACAAAATTTGCATCCAGCAAGAATTTTCTAAATATGTGCTTATAATTCATTTAAGTGTTGGAAAATGAATTAAATAATATATAGCATTACATTGTAACACAATGATCTTAGTTTTCAGGATGTTCTCCCGCTAACATCTATTAATAAAACTTTAGGTTTTCTGTCTCGGAACGAAAATTCATTAGAGCGTATTTTATGAAACCGCAAGTCTTTTGGACTGATTGAAATAAATGAATTTCACACGTTTTCCTTGGTTAGGAAAGCATATAATTATTTTCGTCCCCCTCTGATCGATCTAGCCGATCGAAAGCTCAGAAATATTGGCTCTGCCAGTATTGACCGCGTGGAACATGAAACTACATGACCTTAGTTACGGGCGACTCTCAATACGATTTCGGATCAATTAGGAAACGTAAAGAAATGAGTTTAAAGGGAATTCAATTTGTGCATCTAAGACAAGAGAAATAAATAAAAGAGATTCCAACTTTTTGTGCCTTACATGTAAAAGAAAGGGTAAGATCAGACAATGTTGGGAATTTTCCGGGGATTCTTACTATACGTAAGCCCACACAATCAATTTTTATTAATCCATCGATCAAATTCTAATCCAACTCATACACTTATGATGCCTCTCGCTGTTACAATCATTACGATTAAATTACTCTCGCAATTACATTTCTCGACTTTTCTGTCACCATTCTGTAGATGTCGTCAGTTGTTTAACGATCATCTCTTTTACACACGTCATCCTTAACTTGCTTCCAAAGAAAGCTCCTTATTTAATTACTCTGATGGAACAAGAGAATTTACCTTGCATCTATTCCGTGACATACACGTATTTTGGTGTTGAACGTCCTACATTGTACTAAAGCTTTGTCAACCGGGGGAAACTGTTATAATTCAAGTTCATATAAATGAGGTTTTGAGTGAAAGTAGGCTGGAAAGAAAGAGACAGAGCGACCAAAGAAAGCAAGAAGTAAAAGGCGTAAAGCCAGTCGAGAGAAACGCGCAAAGAAGTAAGAAAGGACACTGAGATAGGCAGAATACGGCGAGAGAAACGCGAAAGAGAACAAGAAAAGGCATAAGTAAAAAGGCAAATATCCAGCGAAGAGCAACGTAGGAAGGAAATAAGAAGAGCTCCAGAAAACAGACTGCAAAGAGGATCCGAGAAAGAAGGGGAGGTAAGTTGAGTCTTATGCGGGTTTTCTCTTGCGCTAAGGACTAGAAAAATTCAAACCTTTTTTAACCAATCGTGGTTTGATACTAGCTTTACTTTATAATCTAAATCGCGTTTCGGTAAAACAATGTCTTTAGCATTCATCGCTTTAAAACCCTCACCCCGGTTCATCGGTCGAATAACATTTCATAGTGTTTGTATTATTCAATCTTTATTTTGTCGTCCTATCGTTTGGAATGTTTAAGACAGTCGTGTTTTTTAAGGGGAAGAAGCTATCTTACGGACTATGTTTTGCCTAGAAAAACTTTTTATATGATAGCGAACGGCGTGAGCAAGTTTCTGTCATTCTCTCTCCAGTTAATTATTGCAGGGTTTACTTAATCCATTTCCGTAACCTTCCTGGATATTTTCTGTTACATTCATTGAGTTACAATCTCGGAATTTCATGAACGATTATGAACGATAAATTCGTATCGGCACCATCATTTCGGGAAGTTTTGTAAACACATCAGTTTACAATTAGTGAACCATTTCTGTAACCTACTTGGAAATTTTCTTCTGAATTAATTGAGTCACACTATCGGAATTTCATTATTAATTAAGAACAATAAATCCGTGTATGTAGCACAAGCGGAAGCACATCTTAACCTTTTCATACAATTTTAGGAAACTGACTCTCGATTAATTGACCTTGCATAACTCTTTGATTACTTTGTTATTTTGTGACCCCAAAAGTCCAATTTATGACTCTGAGGGTACTGAACTAGATACATTTGATACACAAGGCACCCTTCAAGGAAGAAGGTTAGAATAAAACTGCTTTTACGATTTCTTTTCGTGTAAAATATATCCATTACTTTGATTGCCTCCCTAACCTGCCTGCAAATAATTAAATCTTATGTATAATTCAAGTGTGAGATTGACTTCAGTTGAGAAGATCAGTAGACTACTTGTCATATGCCACTCCTGATATCTTAATTTTATGGCCCGGTTTTTTTCTTTTCACAAAGTCTCTTTTATATCTCTGTGTGTCAGCCAATGATTCAAATCTCAGTGAATACTAGATAAGTTACACTTTTTAAATTCCGTCTTTAAAGTATTGAACATCTCTTTGTCTAAAATCTGAATCATGAAGTCAACTTAATTTTAATGAGTTTCGAACTTCATTCTAAATACGAACACTACTGGAGTACG